AGTTTGAAATACTTTCCAATTTCCCTTTTGATTTCTGCTTTAACATAGTTGTTTAGAACCAAGTTATTTAGTTTTCAATCTCTTGAGAATTTTCCAAAGATCTGTTACTGATTTCTAATTTAATTCAATTTTGGACAAAGAACACACTTGACCTTCTTCTTTTTTCCACTTATTGAGATTTGTTTTTTGGCCCAGAATATTCTCTATGTTGGTAAATGTTCCATGTATAGTTGAAAAGAATTTGTATTCTCATCTTAAGTAAAATGTTCTATAAATGTCAAGTATATCAAGTTAATAGTGATGCTCAAATCTTCTATGTCCTTACTGATTTCCTATCTACTTGTTCTGTCAATTATTGAGAAAGGGGTATTGAAATCTTCAGCTATAATTGCGATTGTTTCTCTGTGCAGTTCTCTTAGTTTCTTCCTTCATATATTTTAAAGCTCTGCTGTTGGGTGCATAAACATTTAGGATATGTTATGCCCTTTTGAATGACTCTCCTAGTGTGAAAAAATAACAATGTACTGTGGGTTTATAACATGTAAAAGTATGAATAACAACATCATCAGAGGGGGAGAAATAAAAGATAACTTGAGCATCTTACTTTTAACCATAGCTTTCACACTTCTCCCTCATCAGATGATCTACCTGCAATGTCATTTGATTTAACTGATTCTCCATCCCCTCGCTTTAGTTATGGGTGAGGCATTAGAAAGAAATGATCTGCCTGCTGATTTTTAGAAATATGAGAGTTGAGTCCTTAAGGCTGCACAGCAGGAGAGGACTTCCCATGGCCTCACCCTTCCCATCTGTTCAGCAGATTTTTTGTCTGTCGCATGAAATGGCTGTTGAGGAAGAAGGGTTTTGTTGTGGATTGTTCAGGCGTTGCCTTTGGGGGAAATGGGTAATGGACATTTGTGGCTTCTCACCTGCTGTTCTGACCATGGCTTTGTGGCTATTCTGATAGGGGTTGTGTAGGAATTCAGGCCTCATTTGGATGCCCCATTAATGCTTGCTCCTGAATGTTCTTCTGCTTCTTCCTAGGAGCCAGCACCACTTTTCGACCTTGCCATGCTTGCCTTAGATAGTCCTGAGAGTGGTTGGACAGAGGAAGATGGTCCCAAAGAAGGACTTGCTGAATACATTGTTGAGTTTCTGAAGAAGAAGGCTGAGATGCTTGCAGACTATTTCTCTTTGGAAATTGATGAGGTGTGACAGCCATTTTTATACCTCTTTGTACTCTTCAGATAAAAGCAAAGTTCCAAGATCAGGACTGGGCCTCCCCTCAAAAGCAGCATGTGACACATATGACATCCACGCCATTCCCCATCTGCATTTCTAGATGACACAGCTTTACTGTTATCCCCTCATGCCCACTCCTGCCCCCAGGGTGAAGGACCCAGACATGAGGGAGAGCTACATCCCTGCAGGCCACAGTGAGATTATGCTACTTGTTCCCATTTCCTCCTCTTCTTGGATCTTTGGGGCTTTCCATCTTGATATGTTACTCGGTTGGTGAGCAGATCCAAAGAAAAGGCTGTCCTGCTACCTGTCAGGGCAAAAAGCTTTTTTCAAGTGCTTAAGCTTCTCTGCCTCCAAGGCCCAGCCTAGTCAAGTACCTAGTTGCCCCTAGGGCCAGACATGAGGACAAGGCCTGGGGAAGCAGCGGAGAAATTAAGTTTGCTTGAGCTTTATGAAAACGGTATTTCGTGACCTCCTGCCCCGGCCTTTTTTCCCACAAGCAGGAAGGGAAGCTGACTGGACTACCCCTTCTCATCGACAACTATGTGCCCCCTTTGGAGGGACTGCCTGTCTTCATTCTTCGACTGGCCACTGAAGTAAGTGAGCAAGCCAGTACTGTGCAGGTGGGTGCCGGGGGAAGGGCGCGTGTGACCGCCCTTTCATCTGAAATTAGAAGATGACGAGAGTAAAACAGCTGAAGACCTCCTCTCATCGCCACCAATATGCGTCCTTAGCGGTATTTAGCAGTCCATTTTAGCTTTAAAGCCTAAAATCACATTTAGATTTTTTAGCTTTAAGTAGTCTGCAATCTCCATTTAGAAATGAAGATGTGTATAAAGCATAACTTGAGGCACTGAATTCTTTGGCCCAGGTGAACTGGGATGAAGAAAAGGAGTGTTTTGAAAGCCTCAGTAAAGAATGTGCTATGTTTTACTCCATTCGGAAGCAGTACATCTCTGAGGAATCGACCCTCTCAGGCCAGCAGGTAGGCCAGCAGGTACTGTGGTGATGCACATTGGCACCCCAGGACTGGGACACACCCTCACACAACCTTTAGGAGATGAAACGTGCCCATCTCTAAAATACTGGGGTTTTGTTGTACATAAGAAGGTTCAAACACAATGATTAGCTTTTATTCCTTCTGCAGAAATTGTCACATATAAATCACAAGCTATCACAGTGAGAAATGGGAGGGTGAGTTAGATATCCCAGGCTGGAGGGTCCCTATCTCCCACTGTTACCCTGAAGTATGTAGCCAAGTCCTGAGATATTTGGGTCAGTCTCCCCAGTCTCTCTCACCTTTCGCCTTACTCTACATATGACCACTCCCTTGCCAGGAAAACAGTGCTCTGTAACTCCTCTTAAAGGTCAACTTTGACACAAAAAGGGCTTAGATTGCTATTATTTCATTGTCACTTTTCCCAGATGACAGTGTTTTTCAAATCAATATATATTTCAAGGGAAGGGAGAGCTGAAATAGTCTAAGAAGCAAAGGAAAGTCCACTGTAATACACAGCGATCCCAATGACTGCTTTCAGTTGTCCTCAGAGGTGAAGCAGTATGCTGCAGTTTCACAGATGAGGAGGCTGAAGGACAGTGGGCATGTTTGAAGATTCCAGGTCTGTAGATGTTAGAGCCAAGATTCAGTCTGAGTTCCTGTTGGCCAAAGCCCCTCGGGAGTTTCTCACTCCTGTGAAGGCAGGGCAGCACAGTTACCAAATTGTGCAGAGTAGCTCACTTGATTGGAAAAACTTACCTCAAGGTAAGGAAGGACAGAAAACAAATACGGCTTAGAAGTCGGAGAACAACCGTGAGGCAAAATAACCCTCATTATATTTTCATCCCTTCCCTATGGATTGGTAAACAGGGTTGCTTTGAGACTCCCAAGTGACTTAATTACTTTCTACTGTTGCCATCCATACATTAGTCAGGATCTGACATTATCATAGATCTTGCTACAATAAAACCATTTTCTCCCTGACTGGAAACAAATGCTTCCTAGGAGACAGTCCTACAAGAGCAGTGGCTTCTTTTAGCCTTAAAAGACCTCTTGTGTTTAGGCCTGTGGGATCCCTGAGAGGCTGGCCCACAGAATCTACTTTACAAGCACTAGATAATACAACCTATGTGCCAACAAGATGTTCCAGGCCCAGGAAACATTTCATCAGCCAGGAAGTCAGGATATATTGGGCTGCAAATAGGGAGGCTTCTGACATCTAATATGTTTTCCAGAATGAAGTTCCTGGCTCCACTCCAAACTCCTGGAAGTGGACTGTGGAACACATTGTCTACAAAGCCTTCCGCTCACACCTTCTACCTCCTAAACATTTCACAGAAGATGGAAATATCCTGCAGCTTGCTAACCTGCCTGATTTATACAAAGTCTTTGAAAGATGTTAAATATGGTCGTTTATGGACTCTGAGATGTGTTGTTCTTTCTGTGTATTCCGATGTTGCTAGTACTTAAGATTTAAGACTCGCATTTGCAGTCTTACAAGCAGCATTCCCTCATGACTGGTAGGTGATTATAAATAGATCGTCAGATGTGTCCTAATGTGATTTCTTATTTAATTTCATTATGTGTATGTTGTGTCAGTTCAGATGCCTTTTAAAAGAGGTCCTGAACATGCCAGAGGTTCTGCTGACATTGATTATGGAGAAAGATTGAATTTAATAATCTATTAGTATTTTCAAAAATTAAAGCTAATTACTTTTAAGGAAAAAACTTGCAGGAAGAAAATAGTCCTTATCCCATCTATAACAAGTATGAATTTTTAAGTTAGCCCACTTGTTCATGGCTGTGAATATTACTAGCATAAGATAAAGAAGTTTCTAGGTATTCTTGTTTGAAGGACGATAGAAAAATACACTTAATCTACAAGTGCCAAAATTAGCTACTTTCATGTTAGCCTGCATTAATAGAAATGGAGCATTCAGTTCAGAATGGAAGAATGCCTATGGTTTTTAAAGTAAAATCCAGATTTCACCTTAAATGAAAATGAAGACAGTTCAGTGGAAAAGAACAGAATACGCTCATCTCATGAAGAAATGGAGCCACTTCATGAGGAAAAGACCGGGGCAACAGAATGGAAGAGACACTTGCCATGCCACAAAAACAGGCGAGACCAGTTTGACCAATTAGAACTCCAGAGATAGACCAGGGCACCCTAGAAGTGAGCTGCCATGTTCCCAGGAGGGCACAGGCTGAGTGATCTTGAGTGGGGAGGAAGAAGGGTTCTCTCTGCCTCAAGAGCTGGGCCACACAGTGTGTTGGTTCCAGCAGGGGGTTCCAAGCTAAACCTGGATTTAGAACACCCTCCTGTCAACCCCCAACCACACAACTGTTGTTACCATTGGAACATTTAAAAGCCAGGCGCAGGGGCTTACACCTTTAATCCTACCTCCTACCACTTTGGGAGGCTGAGGCGAGAGGATGAGAGGATTGCCTGAGCCCAGGGGTTCGAGACCAGCATGGGCAACATGACGAGACCTTGTCTCTATGTAAATCAAAAAATTAGCTGGGCATGGTGGCTCATGCCTGTAGTTCTAGCTACTTGGAAGGCTGAAGCGGAAGGATCGCCTGAACCCAGCAGGTCGAGGCTGCGGTGGTTGTGAGCGTGCCACTGCACTCCCCTGGGCGACAGAGTGAAACTCCAACTCAAAATTACAGGAAATCATCCTAATTCAGGAGATTGGTATCCATACTTTTAGAATGAAGGCTAATTAAAGGAGGAACAATTATTAGAGATTTTATTCACTTTTGTGTAAACTTTTTCAAGTTTATTTTTATTATCTTATGTGCCTTGAGTCATTAGACTTTCCCCAAATATATTTTTTTGTGTAAACACTGTAAAGATACAGTAATCACTTCCATAAAACCACCTTGGTTCTGGCAGCAAAAGAAAATCACAAATCCTGCAAAGTGGCTGCACTCAGTGATTTTTAAAAAACAAAAGAAAAAACAAACCTATTGAATTGGGTACTTCAAAAGATGAAACTAGGTTTTTAAAAGAAAAAGTTCTATATTCCAGATTATTTTTCCTTAAGGAGACAAAGATGAGGGACATATTTGGCATGATCTGTTGTAAAAGCTTCTGTAACAAAATGAATATGTCAGTAGCCAGTTGTGGTTGGCAAAAGGGTGTGTTTAATAGACTCTTCAGGCAGATTTCCCACCTGCCTACCCTGCCCTGCCCTTCCCTCCCTCTCCGGACTTGTTTGAGGTTTCACTCCACAAAAAAGCAGCAGATGAAATACTTTACAAGGTACAGCACAGTTGATATTGAAGAATAAGGACCCTACTCTTAGTTTAAGAGTATGAGACCTTGGACTTCCCCTACCCCATGCAATAAAGCAAGTTGTATATACACTTCCCATATTTTTTCTAACATTTTCTTATATAAATTTAAATATCTTACAAAAAAGGGCTTTTCCCTCCAAACATACAAATTTGAGTGAAACATAGATTCCCCATCCATGAACTTGTTTCTTCACTAAAATATAAATGCTATCTGATATTAAGGGTAAATGTCTTTTGACCACTGGAGATCACTGAAGTCTGAATTGCACCATGGAGAAGGCACTTGTGTTTTCGGAGGTCTCCAGCAAGTATCTCAGTGAGCACTCATAGAACTGCTGTCCTCCAGAACTTGTGCCAAGGCCTCCGAGTGCCCAGTCACTGAGGCAGCTGGGGAAAATATTGAGTAAACGTGATTCTAAAGTTACGGAAATAAAAAGTAAAAACATCATGGGCTGGTTCTTAGTCTAGAATCAAACTACAACAAAATCCAAAGTGTTCATTCATGAAGATTCAGACCTGCTTCATTCTCTCATAAATTATAAAATACAAAGGTGGCGGCTGTTTTAATGACAAAACTGAAACAGTACTGAAAGGGCTTTGTGTCTGTGGACAAGAAGTCACTCCCTTCTGGGCAGGTCCCCAAGGAGCATCAGCCAGGCTGAGCGTGTTCTCTGTCCTATTGCTGGGCCAGAAGCGCTGTCCTGTTGGCCTTCATCTTCTCCAGCCGCTTGGCCAGGTGGCTGTTGGTCATCTCCATCTCCTCAATCTTGTCCAGTGCTGTTCGTAGCTGGAGATAGGGAGAGTGCAGTCACTTCACCCGGTCAGAAACAATACCTAATGCCTCTTTATTTTCAACTTTCTGGGAAACGAAAGCACTGCTCATTGTGATAGCCTTGCACAGGATCCCACAGCCCAATTTTTTTCTGTCAGCTAGAGATGTTAAATGATGATACTGAGGATTATTTATTTAAGTCGCAGAAGGAACATATGGAAGTTGGAGAAATAGACCTGATCTGAAAAAAATAACTGTCTAATAACTGACCAAAACATAAAGGTACATAAAGGTAAATGGCAGTCACTTGGCAGGTCAAAAACCAACACGAATGAGCAAGTACTCCCACTGCTACTTCCTTCAGACCTGTCCCAGTATTACATTTCTTAGACAGCTAAAGATTTATTTCTAAAGGATTTTTTCTTTTTATGAATGTATGTATTCTCCAAGAAGCATATCGAAACAAGTACCTCTCGTTGTAGCTTCCGTTTTTCTGCTTTCAGTTCATCTTCAACTTTCTCTGCATTCTCAGCAGCCATTTTATATCTCAGCACCTGTCCCTCAAGCCGGCTAATCTATAAATAGGAGAACATGAGTCTCTGGTAATACACACTAAAAAATCATCGTTTTTTGGTAGCCAATATGGAAATACAATGTCATATAAATTTCAAGTAATCTAACACTAACAAGTCCCCTTAGGGTGAATCATAGATCCTCTCAGAACTCAACTGCTATTTATAAATCCAGAAGTGTCCCCAGAGAGGATTACAGCTGCAGAATCATAGGCCAATTTCCCGTGTTAAATTTTATGATGACCATAATGTTTAAGGGCCAAAATAACATCATAGGAAGAGACTGAATGGAAAAGTTTTTAGACTTTTTGAAATGTATGCTAAAGGAACTTTGTTATAAACTGTGATCTTGAAGTCTCTTGAAATACCTACAAAAAACGGTGACAGTTATATGTTCTTAAAGAAAACAGAAGGCTGAAATCCCCGCCAGGTACTCTCTTGCTGGCTTTTCTGTTTTTTTGTCAGAGTATCACTCTGTCACCCACCACGCTGGAGGGTAGTAGCATGCTCACGGCCAACACAGCCTTGACCTGCTGGGCTCAGTTGATCCTTCAGCCTCAGCCTCCCAAGTAGCTGGAACTAAAGGTGCACACTACCACGCCCAGCTAATTTTTTGATTTATTGTAGAGATGAGGGCTCACCAAGTTGCCCAGGTTGGTCTTGAACACGT